TTTGAGGATTATATTCGATTTTGATTCAAAATTAATTAATTTTTTTCTACGAATGATTGTCGAAATATTTTGCATTGCATACAAGTAGCCCAAGTTTGTTTCTTTAAAGTATTTTTTTTTTTTTTTATTATAAAAGTTTTTTTTATTGAAGAGAAAACCACCAAGTTAGCGAGCCAACTTTTTATATTTCACAGCATCGGTTTAGTAATTCAAGTGTATTTAACATTTACGATCCAATATCCGTGTAGTAAAATATTTAGGCTCGGGAACTCCTAATTTCATTTCAATTGAATTTAATTACGACGCAGACGATTTTGATTTTCAATATTGGAACAGTTGTAAGTAAGTAATGGACTACTACTAATAAGTTCGCGGATAAACGGGCTGATGTTTTCGTACTGAACTTTAGTAATTAATCGAGCGCGGCGAAAGAACGGGCTGGAAGTAGGTGGCTAAAAGCGGTCGCGACCGTTTCCAACAAGCTCCCTTCGTCTACCCCATTTTTCACTCCGCCAACCCTTTCCCATCGAGCTCTTCCTCGCAGTATTTCATCTCACTTTCTCGTTTACTTCCGTTTATCAAGCGTGCGTTTTCGTACGTACACATTAAATTCCACAAGAAATTTAACGGAATGTGGAAAAAAGTTTTAATTACAACAGGAAGGGAGATTTCAGAAATGACTAATCTTTTAAATAATATCAATTTATTTTATTTCTCTTGCGGAAGGTGAAAAATGCAGACGGGCAAACTCTTGACGCTCTTAATGCTCGTTTTGCACAAACGTTCCCGTAAAACGGTCAGAATTCCCCCCTTTTCGCCGGAGTTCTTTTTTCAAGCGGGGAGCGGGGATTTTTTTAACGCGGATTTAGAAAAGTCCTCGTCGGAACGAAGAAGATTTCGCCGCACTTTTCGCGGGCCATCTACGCGAGAGCCTGAGTCGAGTGCCGAGGACATTTAAATTTATTTGGGGATGGCGTCGCGAACGATAGCACGGTCGCGGAAAATAACATCGGAAGCGAATCGAGCGCTATGGAAAACGACCCCCTCGCGACCTTCTCGTCTCGTGGTGGATACGACTTCTTCATTCCTCGTTTTCAAAGCGCAGTCGAGTTGGTCAACCTCGTATACTTAATTTAATTGAATCACCCGACATGATCTATTTTCCCCGAACGGCGATCTGAATCATCGTCGGTTCTCGTAATTGCGACGAGAGCCTGCTTGCCAACTAAATAGTGATAGTAAACTAGCCAGCTGTAAGTAGCTAAATAGCGTTCTCAACTCAGTTGTACTACCGAGGGACGATTCGTTATGTGCAGAGAGCAAATAATCATTGTTTTTTTGTGCGAGGCAGAAAACGAGAATGAAAAAACACATAATTATTGCTTCTCGTTTTCGGGAACATTCAATTGGAGAATTTGTGGAATATATAGTTGTACATAATTTGGTACATGTGGTTATTATACATTATTTCTGATTGCGTCGACGTTTGTAAATATATAGAAAAGTAAAGTTACAAAGAACACCATTTTTTACAGATTATTTGTTTTTTATTACATTAAAAATTGCTGACACGAGAGAAGGGAAAGCTACATTTAGCTTATGTTTGCTTCGCTGTTCATTTTATCCGGTTATTTCGATAAGTAATTGGAAAATCGCCCTTTGTGTACTTATTTATCGTCAAATTGCTAAAAGGGCTCTGAATATTATAAAATTTCTTATTTTAAGATAATTTTATTTGTAATAGAATTGGGATGATTATTATGTTTGAGTAATGAATAATTTTTATCGTAAACCTCACGTTTCTTTCACAATGACGAAGATGTACAATAATTTCTACTAGATTTATTTGATAGACGTAAAAAAATGAAATATAAAAGAAATATTATTAGAAAATTATTTGTGTAAAAAAATTATAGATATAACAAATATTTAAATAAAGGGGAAAAAAAGAATTGCTTCGACTTAATTGGTATTAAGACATTACGCTGTTGCAAGTTATATTATGAGCAATTTTGTGATTTTTATTCAACGTATCTATGTAAAAATCTTGCGCAGAAAAAAATTAATCTTAAATCAAGATTATATATTTTCATATAAGCAAGAATATTATAATCTTCTTGAAAAATTTTAGTTTTAATTAGAATCTATCGATGCAAGTATAGATATTCTCATATATAGGCAAGAATGTTATAATCTTTATATAAAAAGTTTTTAATCTTGAGCAAAAGTAATATTTGCATTAATATTAAATTCAAATCAAGATTAAAATTTAAGAATATTACAATCTTTTATCTAGAAGATTTTTAGTCTCGGATTGAGCAAAAATAATACTTGCATCAACACAGATTCAAACAAATCAAGGCTAAACTTTTTTAACAAGATTATAATATTCTCGCTTCTATGTGAGAATATTCGTCTCGATCTAAAATAAAGTTTTTTCCCTCCATGGAATAAATTCTGAAATGGATTATTTGTGCCGGTAACGACCGATCGCGAGCGGCAACAATGTTTGCAAGGAAGAACATACTTATTTGAGCTTACTAGCTGGAGCCGTATCTCCGAGCGTGAATTTTTGTGATAAGATTTATCGTGCCGTGGATGTATCTCGCCCTGGATGTATCTCGCGCGCGCGGTCTACTTATTGGTTAATAACACAGCAGGTCGAGAGACGGAAAGACGGCAGATACAAATTGCGAGCGGTGTCGGCGAACGAGCGCGCAAACTCGCGCGCGAACAATAGAGGCGAACGGTGCCGTGCGCCGGGGCGCTTTGGAAAAATGTAAACGGGACGTTTGCTCGGGCCTCGGGAGTTCAAATGATACGGTAACGGACCGACGCTGACAAGTTTGCAATCGATAATCCTATAAATCCGCCGCCGTCGCCGCCTCCTCCTCCTCCTCCTGCTCCTCCTCGTTCGAGCGCGCAAATAAATCGATGGCCTCTCACCGACCGCCACGCTCCAGTCTTTTCCCTAATCATTCCGCTCTCTTCCTCGAAACTTCATTGTCGGAGAAGTTCCCGACGCGTGAAATGTCCATTTTTTTTCCCCAATCCTGACCGATGGACGCGCGCTTTTATCATCGTGTTGAATTTAATAAAAAGAATAACGTTTGTGTTTGTGTAATCACATAAGAAGGTTTTTTCGACTGAGAGGAAGGGAGGAAGAGATTCATAGGGGGAGAGGGGGGGTTCTGATTGGAAGAAGAGGGATCTGAATTTACAAGTATACCTTCAAGTTTCTAGAACAAATACCTGTACCTCATTGTGCAAGAAACTAAAATGTAGTGTAAATCCACGATTCTTCAACGTGCTAGGAAATTTCTAGGAGCCGTCCGGACTCGAAATACCCATGTAGGGCCACAAAGAGTTAATGCACGGGGCTTCTTTCGCGTTGGGTTGATTTTTATCGTTCTTATCGAGAAAGTCGCGCGAGTTGCAGCGTGGGATCTTCGATCCTTATCGTGCGGAAGAGGAGCATCCGCGAGAAAAGCTGTAACCTATGGGGATTACGACGCCGCTCGGCCTTCGTATAATACCATCTTAATAGCTTCATTCGATCGCGAAAGGGGCCCGAGGGGTAATTGATGGCCCTTCATTGTGTCCTGCCGCGGGAGCAACGCCTGGCGAGCGTGGCAATAAGGACCCGTGTCCTTCTCCCGGTGTGGGAAATTACCCCCCCCCCCTCGTTATTAATGGTTTCGTAAGCGCCATCCATGGTCAATGAGTAGCCGGCAAGCCGAATTCCCGTCACGAATGCATCCCAACGTTGGGCGTATCATGTTTCTTCGCCACGCGCCGCCACCCCCCCCCCACTTTGACAAATTCAGCGAATTTTCATATAAATAATTAAATCTGTCTGTCGATGTTTCCTTGCAGAGGCGTGGGACATTCCATTTATCCCCATCGAATTGAAATTCTGATCGGAAACGTAAAGAATAGACAAGAAGTCTTTCAAACTTTTTGAATTACAAACGTTTTATCTCGAATGCAAAATGACGCTTGTCATTGGCTTTTAAAGGTAAAGAGCGTTTTCCCGTTTTTAAATCGATACTTTTAAAAGCTCATCGCGATTCCATCCGCGATGTAGCATAATGCTACAATGATTTTGAATATCCGTTTGACGCAACGTAGCGAACAGCCATCGGTTGCAAGTGCATGGGGCAAGAAGGGAGATCTAATAAGGTTCAATGTTCCCTCTCGACAAAGAAATATTCCGCACATCGTCATGTCCTCTGCCCGCGAACGCTCGTAAAGATCGATTTTGCGATTTTCGTTCACAGCTTCAGGGCTTTATCACGGTTTTTCTACACCGATCTACACCGTTTTTCCCGAGGAGGCGTCGTGCCTCCTCGCCACCCTTCGGAAACAGACAAGGACAAAGCACCCCGACATAAATAATTTATCTCGGAGGCGGTTCCGTGGCGTGTGACGTAACGCGGCGACGTTGACGGTGTGTGCGTTGCATTAAATATGAAATCCAATATAAACTTTCGAGGCATATAAATCTCGAGTATCACCTGGCCACTATCTCGTCGCATTTACATTTTCCCCGTGCAAGCGTAACGCTCTAATTCTTTAATCAATTTTTCTCACATTAAGTAAGTCCCTCTTTTTCACATTAAGCAAGTCATTTAAAATATATAGATTACACAGAGAAAAATTAGTCTTAAATCAAGTATGTATTTTCATATGTAATGCACGAATATTATAATTTTCTAAAAAAAAATATTAGTCTTGATTCACCTGAATTTATACTGATGCAATATTATGGTTTTCATAATATCATATAAGACGATTTTCACAGTCTTGAATTGATACTTGCATCAATACAAATTCAATATAAAATCAAAGCTGAAACTTTTAACGAGACATTCTTGCTTGTACAAGAGAATATGTTCCTTGATTTAAGATCAATATATTTTTCTGTATAATTTATATATTTATCCCAAGAAAAATGACATTTGGTATTTTTTTTTTTTTTTTTTTGATTAAATTCTCGATATCCTAGTCGTTTTAAATTAAATAAACTTAGAAGAGCGCCTGGTGCGCGCGCAATTTAAGGTACACAAAACTCACCTTTCTGTCTTGCTGTTTTTTTTCTTTCAGGATGCAGGGACAAAGCCGGCGTAGCTCGGAGGTGGAGGTTGCGCTTATGCGCCCTGTAAGCACAGCTGGCTAATAGCCTCGGAGCCCGTCCCCGACACCCTGCAGCCACACCAGGTAAGAAGCTTTCGTGTTTACCTTGCGTATGCGTTCCACGTGTCCGATATATTTGGACGGCTCGCGCGGATAGGCTGCGAGTCTCCTCTTCGTGTTTTACCGCACAAAATCAGGATCGCCGCCGTGTTCTCGCGAGCGTGAAAATATCCGCGCGCGCCTCTACACGCGAGGCGATAATTAGCCGTTAATCCTTCTCCCTCCCCCCCCCCCCTCCCGCGAGATTAAGGGACGTTCGTCGAGGTAACGCGCATACCTATGAATATGAAATGTATGTACGTACGTTGGTTAACCAACTTCTCGCATTTGCACAAATTAGATCGTCATTCATGGGAGGCAATTCGGACAAAATTATTATCCAAGCGCTTTATCCGATTCCAACACGCTTTCTTAATTGATGCTTTCCGAAAATGGGGTGGACTTAAGCAGCGAACATAACTAATTATCACTCGTCCGTATCGGTACGAAAGAAATTTTAAAAGTGCCGTGCGGCCATTATTGCACGATAATGGAGGGAATACAAATAGACTCGTTTACATTAGAATTTCGTTTGGTTGAGCTATGAGAGAACATTTTCCTTGAGCTTTCATAGTTTGATTATACGTTAACGCCAGTTGCGAAGATACGATAATGGAATTACATATACGTAACAGTTGAAATAAACGTTTTTTAGTTGCCAAATTAATTATTTGCAATGTTAAAAGTTGAACTATATGAGAACAATTTTACATAACAGAGTGTTTCCATCTGAAAAATCTAGAATTTTCAAGGAATTTTATTGAAAATCAAAAATTTTTTGAAATTGTCTTTTCTAATATCTTGTTTTTATAATCGCGAGTTGTTGACTAAATTATTAACGATAACAATGAATTTCACTCTAAACACTAATTTTACGAGTAATTCATTATTCAGTATTCAAAATAACAATTTCGTGTTGGATGCAGTTTCGTAATTAGGATGAATATTTATTTTAATAGTTTTATAAAAGTTGAATTTTGCACCGGTTATGCATTATACATTTTTTTGTTTGTAGCTTTTGAAAATAATGTTTAAAAATTTTATGCAATATAAAAAAATATTTTTTAATTTTTATAGTCGTTTTCAAAATGTTTTAAATTTAATTATTAAAACTCGAATGATTTTTAATTTTATTTTATGACTTACAAACTTTTATAAATAAAATATTAAGGACATATTAAGGAAAATATTAAGGACTTTTCGTAATATTAGGGACTTACGCAAATATATATATGTATATTTGTTTGTAAGATATATTTAAAAATACTTTCACTTGCACCTGGAATTTATAAGAAATTGTTTTGAAAAGCAGGGAATTTTTTTCGCATAGATATCCTATTTAATTTTATTTGCATTTAACGATACTTAAATTGCCTTGCTAATATATGCATATCTATGCACATAAGTCGAAGTTCCCTTGAGGAAATACATCATTCTAAAAACAACTTTGTTTTTATCTTAAATTTCATATATTCTAAAGATGCGTGTTTACTACACATTCGTCATTTTCATTCAGAGCAACGCGATATATGCGATACGTACGGTCGTATTATACGCAGCTGTATCGCACAAAAGGGAATCGAGATGATAAAAAAAATATGAGAGAGAGAGAGAGAGAGAGAGAGAGAGACGCATATACGGCGTATATGACGAACAGAATTCGCCACTGTCTTTCACAAGCATACACACAAAACACACACACACACACACACACACACACACACACACAACCAAACTATGCGACGTAAATTGCAATAATGACAAATCAGCGTTCCGGTTCCGGG